AATTGGTGGAGTTACACTCTGGTGCCTGATCACGCAGAAAATCGCAGCCAGGGACATTTCTTTAGACTGGATAAGGGACAACAGAGCTGTTGTTTTGCGGCCTAGGTATATACTTCCAAAAGTATTTAATTCAGACTCCAAATGTGGAAACAAAAATAAAGATATGATAGATACTGTGTATGTAATGTGTGTGCGTATGGATAAGTTAATAATTACAGATTTAGCTAAATATGAATATTTTCTAAAGTAAGCCACAGGCATGTATTTGAAGCACATATTACTATTTTCTTAGTAACTGTGGACCATGTGTCAAATTGGTTGGGTTAGACACACATTATTATTTTAAACCCACATTTTCTTAAAGACAATATCCTAACTGCTACTTGACCAAAAACATTACTTTCTAGGAATTTCCAAACAAATATATAGACAGGTACAACGTGAACTCTTCTAAATTCCCACTTCTAAACTTAGATGATTTCTAAAGTCCCCTCCTCTCCTTATTCCTCTTGTCTCAATCATATCTATTCTCATGAGCTCAGTTGTTATCTGTATCTGGATAACCATCAATTCTTCATTTCTAATGCAGATGTCTCACCAAAATTCTGCACTTGCTAGTTTTGACTGTCTGCTGACTTTTCCACCTGAATTGCCAATAGCCTCTCAAATACAAGAAACATGTCCAGAAGTTAAGCTAATTTTCTTTCTCTTTTCTCCAAATTTGCTCCTTACTATGATATTTGATTTTACCTTCTCCCATATACATAATCAAGAATCAAAGTCTTTTGATTCTACCCCAGCAACATAAAATTCAGGCTCCACCAATTTCTACTGTTACTTTTCTGATTCAAGTCCATAATCTAATGTAATTATAAAAACTTTTCTTCTAATTCTCTTTACTTTGAGTTTTGCCTCTTACTGTAGTCCAAGTATCAGTGGACCCACCTCAGAAATACCACTGAAGAAAATTTACCAATAAAAAATACTTTCCTCTTTTTTTATATATTTTAAGTAACTGGCACAAAAATAGATTTTTCTTTTCTTTCTTTTTTTTTTTTTTTTTGGTACTGGGGATCGAACTTGGGACCTTGCAGGTGGCAGAACCACCGAGCTACATCCCTGGCCTAAAAATAGATTTTTCTATGCCTCTGCATCTTGAAACAACATAAATAAAAATTTTAATGCCTGAAAAAGTGTACGGTTTACAATTTCAGTGCAAAATTTTCCAGTGTTACACTATGAGTTTTCTGTTTGTTTGTTGTGTTTGCTCGTCTGTGACAGGGTCTCACTGTGTAGCCCAGGCTGGCCTTGAAATTGTGGTGTTCCTCCTGCCTCAGCCTCCCAAGTGATGGGATGACAGGCAAACGAATTGTTTTGTTTTGTTTTGCACCGGGGATCCAACTCAGGACCTTGCTCTTGCAAGGCAGGCACGGTGCCACTGAGCTAAATCCCCAGTCTAGACTATGAATTGTTAAAGGGATTGTAAATAAGAAACTGGAGTGCGAGAGAAATATATGAATTTAAGAACATCAATGTATTATTTCTCTTTTGAACATCCCTCCCTTAGGACTGGCAAAGTCAACTTTAGAGGAGGCATATGGTAAAAACACTAAGGTAGCAGTGGGCTTTCTCCTCTTCTAGGTGCCAGATGAAAACAGCAGTGCAGGGAAAGGGCAGCCGGGTCTTTCCTCCCCATGCCCCTCACCCAAGAAGGACAGAAAGTTCTACATATGCAACTTAGGGTTAAAATCTTCTCAGTAGAAAATGGAAGCCTATTGAAGAGAATAATATGTTTTCACTTCTGTCAGATAGATAGGGGGCCGGGATTTAGCTCAGTGGTTCTGCTGCCTGACACTCAAGTGCAAGGTCCTGAGTTCGATCCCTGGTACCAAAAAGAAAAAAAGAGAAAAAAAAAAAATATATATATATATATATATATATATATATATATATGTGATAGATAGAACACTATCTTACAGCTAGAACACTATGTTATAGAAGTATACTACGTGGGCAAGAAAGTGGCAACTTATAGAGGTAGAATCGTAATATTAATTTGAATGGGTTTCAGGAAAAACTGAGGCTGACTGCTAAAGTCCTCGGGAGATGCCACTCATGCTACTTTGCCATTTCCTCTTTATCTGTGAAGGTGATGAGGACAGCACTTACCTCCTAGGTAAACAGGGCTGTAACGGAATACTGAGTGAAAGGCTCAGTGCACGGTCTGGTCCCACAGTAGATCCTCAAAGGTGTTCGGCAAATGAAGAATCAACAAGATTGAAAGGAATGCAACCTGCACCATTGTATTAGTCATTTTGCCACCGTGAAAACAAAATGCCTGAGATAAGTAACTTACAAAGAGAAAAGTTTCATTCTGGATCACGGAAGTTTCGGTACCAGACTTGGCAGACCTGAGGCTTTGGGCCTCTGATGCCAGGAGATGGATAACAAAGGAGGCAAGTGATGAGGGAAACATGGCCGTGGCCGAGGAACTGCTCACCCCATGACAAAAACAAAGAGGAAGAGGAAGGCCAGTATCCCACAGCCTCTTCTTCCCTAAGGACAGCGCGCCAAGCCCCTGTCCCCAGTCCACGGCATCTCCGGCAGCGCCACCCTGGGGACCGTGCCTCTCCCTGAAGCCAGGTGGGATCGCGTGGACCTTCGGGGGACACTCAGCAACCAAGAGAGAGCGGCCACTCAATGCCACTGTAGTTCCTCAAGCACGGTTTTTCTGTTTTAAAAAGAAGGAAAGCTCATTCTCCTAGAGACTGGCATACGGGCACTGAGCCCACATTCTGAAGAGGGAAGAAAATCAAAGCCCTTAACTGCTCACTTTTTCTCTTCTTGGACAGCCCCTCCTTGGATAGTAAAGTGAACTGTAAAGAAGGAATACAGAAAGAAAGGAGTGCACTGTGTTTCTTTCCTCCTTAGGCAGCAGGTAAAAAAATAAACTCGACTGTGAACATGTCACAATAAAACAATGTAGGTTTTGCTTCCATTGGTTGTCTCTGAGAGTGGTACAGGATTCACTACTTTTATTTTCCCTGAAGTGTATGCCAAGATTCTCTAGTTTCTAGATTAAAAGTTTCATTAAAAATTATTTATTAAAGAAAACAGATTGAAAGGAGAAGGCCAGTAAGATCTACTTTAGGCAAGGAGGGTTTTTGAAGACCCTTTGAACCAGATCATGTCCAAAGCTCAAGAGTCCCAAGAAACATCCATAATATTATCTGCAGTACTTATTTACACAATTAAAAAAAGAACGCAGTCTAACATTGAAAACTACCCAACAAGTCACTGAAGAAAAGAAGCAGGAATCATGCATATGTAGCCCAGGTCTGTTATTATCATCTTTTGTGTGTTGCTCTAACATTAGTGGTAAAAATTTCCAGTTTAAGAACATTGCAATGAGTCTACCAGTCAAGCCAAAATGGAGAAGAGATGACAGAGTGGAGCATTTTCCTGTGCTTTCAGCTGTAACACCTGCATTTCCTATGACTATTTCTGAGGTTCTAAGAAAGATCCAGGGGACTCTGCTGGCAATAATTCCTCCAATCGGGCTTTAAGACACTTTTGCTGTGGATTATTCCAATTGTAAAGGAAACTGGTATCCACAACCAGAGTAAGTTTCTAATGGGACTTGGATCCAGTAATGGACTACAGAGCTAAATCAGGGCTGGATTGGGAGAAAGTATTAACTAGGTCTATTAGGATTGGAACTTTTCATCCTTTCTCTGCAAAGACAGGCACAGAACTCTCCTGCTTGCATGAGAATCACTGCTTCAGTCTTGCCTTTTTCCACATGTTTTGGAAAAACGTGTGCAGAGTACAAACTCATACAGTGAAACATTTTATGTGTCATAAAGATTGCTATAAGGTTTATTATTCTACAAGGTAACTTTCTATTTGAACTTGGGGGTCACTTTGTTGTTCAATGCATTTATTTAAAATAGAACAAAAATCAGGATAAACTAAGCATCTTGCATAAAACATTGTCTCTAAGAATTAATATCCTTAGATTTTAAAATAAAAGAACTTTGCCTATACAAGAACTATACTTATACAATAAATTACCATTACTATTCTTTATTAATTTAAATGAGCATAAATCCATTTATTAAATTCCTATTTCTCATCATTTTAATGATGAGCTTCAAACACTTTATTTTTCTTCTACTTTCCTCAATTTTTTCATGCTTTAAATTCTACCCTTCTTAGCTCATATATTTCATACACAAACATTTCAAATAAAAGTCTAACCATGAGCTGGCAGGGCCACAAGCCCGGGGCTACTACCGGCATCCCCACTTCGACCATCATTCTGGTTTAACTCATTTTGCCACAATCAAAGCGGGTGGAAATGCTTAATGGAGTTGTAGATATCTAAAGCTATTTTGATGGGGTGTTTTGTTTTGGCCTGTTAGAACCTGGAAAGTGGAATCAAGGATAGAAACATACGTAAAGAACATAATCTGCTGTCCGTGAAAAGATAACAGTGTTTCAGTTAGACAGTAGAAATAAATGATGTGTATCTGTATGATGGATACGTTAGACCGTATAAATCATCCCACACTATGCACCAATCATAGCATCATTCTGTAGCCCGTGAACAAATACAACTATGATTTGTCACCATCCAGTACAAATGTTGTTAAAAAGTGTGATTTGCAACTGACGAAAAGACAACGAACGTCTCCCCCAGTTGGTTCTGCCCAAGCGAGGATTCTACCTAGGACTTCAGGTGGAAAACCACCTCCCCCCAGTCTTCCTCTCTTGACCCAGTCGCCCTCCCCTCGGAAAGAGTTCCCGGGGGTGAACGCTGACACGGCCTTTGGCGCTGGGAAAGCGGCCTTAGGAAGGTAACACTGCTGGAGCAGAGCCTGTCCTCCCCGCTCCCGTTAGTATCCCGCCCCTGCCTGGCCAGAAAACCTCTGCTTTCCTGCGACCTCTGGGGAGGGAAGCGACAGCGGGTCCCTCACCGTTTAGTCTCTGTCCTGTCTCAGAGTCCGTTCTACCTACCACGCTGCTGCCAGAGGGGCTGCTTTCTGTAAGGAGACAGAACAGATCTGCCGTGCCTCGCAGCATTCGGGCTGCGTAGGAGACACGCCTAAGGGGCATTGAAATGTTTAAACACCATATTAGAAGCTTAAGAAGACAAAGGTAGAAAATGGTTGGAAATTAAGATACCGCATTCAGGACGCCAAACAACGCTGCAAAGCACAGGGGAATCCGTCTCTCTCTGTACAGACAGACACAAGTGCGAATGAGACACGTCTGCCTGCCCGCTGGGACACAGCTGTTCACAGCAGCACACGCAGGGAAGTCAGATCTACCCTAGGACAGTGCTTAGGTGTCAAACACAGCTTGAAAGGAAGTTATGTAAAACGAAATATGGGCACCAAAGAGACCTCCAGGAGGCACCGAACAGGTGAGTCCCACCGTGGTCGCTGCGGATTTTGGGGCGCAGTCTGCTCCCCAGAGGGCGCGGAGCTCTGCGTAAAACCTGTTACTGAGAGAAATGCACAGAAGATGGGAAACCACTTCCAGAGCCTTGGAGGTTGTCTCTCGGCCAACAAAAGCGACTTCCAGGGTGTTCTGCCCCCGCCCGCCCCGGGAAACGGCGCCCGGGCGGCGGGGGCCACGGAGCGCTGCGCACTGCGGCCCAGCGCGGGCTGGCGCCTCCGGGCCGGGAACGTGCTGGCTGCCGCAGCGCGCAGGACCCGCCCGGCGGCTCCGCACTCCGGGTTTGCTCGGTCACCAGCGCCCGCGGCGGAGCGAGCCTCCCCGCGCAGACTCCCCCGCCCGCCCGGCAGGCGCGAGCCCGAGCTCGGCGGCAAGGCGGTCCCGTGTGCCAGGTGCTCCTGCGTTCCTCCCCGCGCGGAGCGAGCTCTGGTGCGGGACCGACTGCCGCGCGGGGCGCCCTGCGGGTTCCCCAGGTGGCGGGGTGGGCGGACGCTGTGCGACTTGTAAACCCCTGCGTCGGGACGAGGTTGACCCCGCCCCGCTCCCAGGATTTATCTTCCTGGAAAGTAAAACTCCTACCTGAATGTAGGACTCAGGAGGGGAGTTTATTGACTGCATTCGTCTCCAAAGCACAGGACTGTGTCCGTGGTGTAGTGGGTGGGTCCGTGAGTGATGGCTGAGAGTGGATGTGCAAACGTACACTCTTGGGGAAGTGATCGGGCTGGGAATATCTGGGAATGTTTGCTTTCCAGGCAGGGAAGCGACCGGCATTCACTGGGCGCCTCTCCGTGCCAAGTCTTCCAGGCTTGGCACGCACTGGGGCGCGTGGGAGCCACCCGAGGACAAGGGCGGTGCAGGCCGTCTAGTCCCAGCGCGGCCTGCAGCTCTCGATTTCAGGGTGATCCATTCCCTTTCCCCTATTCCTGTGCAAACCGTCCTCGATCAACATTTATTTTGTGTATGCAGAAGGCGCTAGTGAGTACGCGTCGGTGGTTACCACGACTTGCCCTGGTACACAGGGCCGGACTCCTCAGGTCAGCTCCCTTCCACACGCAGGTCCTCCACCGGGCACCTGGACACGGGGGGGGGGGGGGCTGCGGCCCCGTGAACCGCCGCTGCGCGGTCCCGGGCGGGTGCACGTGCTCACAGCTCGCCCTCCGAGGTCCCCGCGGGCAGGCTGACCCCGGCGGGAGGCGCCCGAGGCTCCGGGCTCGGCCAGGCCCCGGCGACCCGCGCCCAGCCTCGCGCCAGTCCCGGCTGCAGCCCGGAGCTGGGCTTCCTCTTCCAATTGCTTTGCTTTTCAGTTTCTGCTAAAATCTGGAGACTCGGATCCACCCGCGGAAACGCGAGCTCCTCCAGCAGAGCATGCGCCCTGGCGCGGCTCTAGGGCCCGGCCCGCTCTCCATGCTGGGCTGGGGGCGGGGGGGCAGGCGCGCCTGCGCATCCAGCTCCAGGGACCCCAGGTTTTCTATGGGATTCCCGAGCTGCAGCAGAGCCTCACCCGAGCGTGTCTGGACGGCTGCTGGGCTTGCAAGGCGCGATCCGAGGGGGATTTAAGCAGCCAGACCTCTGGGAAAAAGCGAGAGCGCCACACACGGAGGCCGCCTCACCGCCTCCCCGAATTAAACATACATTTTTTTCAAAAAAAAAAAAAAGAAAGAAAGAAAGAAAGAACTATTGAGTTTTATCATTTTCGTAAAGTGACCGTGCGCAGCGCTCTAACTGTAAGTGGAAAATACAATCTTCGTTGCATGTCTGCATGTGTAGCACAGCCAGTTGCAGGGAGATGCGTGGCCACGGCCGCACACTTTGCTTTGCAGACGTGTACACCAGTGGGCAGAGCCCTGTCAGTGCTGCGAGGTGGATGTGCCGCGGTCCACGGGAGCTGGAGTAGCGGGTAGGGGCGGCGGGCGTTTGTCTGCAGCTTGTTTGGGATTGTCTCAGGCCAGGTTTAAGGTATGCGAAACTGGGGTGCTTTAGTGTAGGTCTATAAATAGGCGGGTTTCCTGCTGCAGATTTAAGTAGCTAATTGACCCATAGTGAAGTTTCCGGGTTGCAGATGAAACTACTGAGCGGCCGCAGTCCACGGCTAACCTGCCAGCCGGGCTGCTGCACCATTTTTCTCGCGGGTAACAGCCGCAAGGTGTGTGCTGAGGGGAACCCAGGCAGTTCTGAGCCTGACACGGGGTGGTGCTTAGCGGAATGTCACTGCTCAACAGTCCGAGGAGCCAGGCGCAAATGAAGTGCATTTCTAGTGTAAGAAATGAGTAATCTTTCGGTTTTTATTTTTCGTCGCAATGGTGAATGGGCAAAAAAGAAAGAGGAAAAACAGGAAAGATATCAAAATATCGATTTTGAGCACAGTCTGAGAGTCAGAAGCCCTGAGTGGGGACTGTCAGACCCAAACTGGTCTTGGCGTTCCCGGTTCGCCTTCCAGCCTTCCGGCACGCAGGGCTGAAAACTGCCAAGCCAGAAGGGTTACCTTGGTCGGGCTTCTTTAAAGGAGAAAAGGTCATTTTGTGTTTTGAGTTAAAATGGACCGTTCCTTGCATAGAAAGTGGAAGAAGGGTCTTTGCAAGGTCAAACCCCTTGTGGAAAAAGATTGCTGAATCCCCTTGGGTGTGAGGGTGTCCGGAGAGAGGAGGAAGGGCACTCCTTGGCGGAGGAGCTGGTCCAGCCCCGCGCTGCCTGGATCCGTGCCCTGTGCGGTGCCAGAGAGGGAATCCATTTTTCTAGAGATGCCCTCCTGTCCATATTTTGGAGACTAAAATGAAATGGGAGTGCTGGTGGGTGTGGAAAACACAAAGTATTCACTGTGTGTCATTTCCCACTTGAAGACAGGAGAAGCTAGGGAGGTTTGTTTCTACATATGATTTTTAAAAAAATTCTCAGAAAAGGAATTTCGGATTGAGACTAATTCAAAATGAAACTCTTGTGAAGCACGGTTTGCCCCATTATCTGCGCAAACTGCCTCCTGCGCGTGCGTGTGCATGGGCGTGTGCGAGGGGTCGAATTGCTGCCCCTTGCTCGGACAGTGCTCCTCAGGCGTGGACCTCAGTAGCCCCGGAGACGCTGACTGGAGCAGCCGGGAAAGGCTGAGGGAGGCCGGCAAGAGGACAGCAGGCCAGCTTGCTGCATTTCCACCGCAAGGCAGACCCGTTCTCCGTGTGAAACAGATTTCCCTCAGTGGGGGCTCATGACAGGCCCTAGGCCCTTTGATCAGTCCAACTACTTCCAACTCCCAAAAGAAAATTATAATTTATTTAAATGGATAAAATCTGCAATTAAAAATCCAAGCACAGCCTCTCCTTAGAGATCCAGCAACTATATCCCACTGCCTTCTCTGTTGCTTCCTCCCTGACAGTGTAGCCACACTCCTGTCGTCATGAGAGTTGGCGTTCATTCAGTATAGTGCAGGGGTTCCTCTGCGTTGACAAAGAGTAGTGCAGGAAAAGGGAGGCTGGGGTGTTCAAGCTCATAGATGTGTGCTCTCAGATTCCTGGGCTCACAGGTTGACAGGTACAGAAGGTCACATCAGTAGAGCCCTTGTAAAGCAACCAGTCCAAACCTCTTGTTTTATAGGTCAGGAAACTGAAGACCAGAACCATGGCACTAAAGAAGTCAATTCACTTCTAGGCTAGAGAAAAAACACTGAAGAGGTGATGTTGGGTACGGGTGTTCTCGTCTTCCTGCATGTCTGCAGCTTTCAGCATCCTTGGTGTCATTGCTGCAGTCTTCAAATCAATGTCTGCCCCTCAGCATGTCCGTCCTGTGGGATATATTTCCCCGGGGCCTTTTTACACCTTTTTCCCCTTCTCTCTTCTATTTTCCTTGTAAGATCTCTTTACATCTCTTTCTGTTGCCCCTCACCTCTAACACACTGCATCACTGGGTTTCAGTCCTGGCCTCCTTTGCATCTCAATTTATCTGGGATCCTAGGATTCGAGGGAGCCCCATCAAGCCAGTGGGCATGGGCAGTGCTGTGTGAGAACGACCCAAGGCCCATCTCCATCCACCCCTGATCTCCTCCCCAGGGTCCTCAGGGAACACTGCAGGTGCCACCCCAGCCAGCCAGCCAGCCCCTCCAGCCCCTCCAAAACTGCCACCGCTGCAGGGATGAGGACCTAGCGGACTGAGGAGGCTGCAGTGCAGACACACAGGCTCGCCCAGCTCTCTCCTGGCTCCTAAAAGGCAGAGCCCAAATCCAACATGCCTGTCACCGGCCTTCAGGGACTCTCTCCAGATGCAGCCACCTGCAGAGCAGGGGAGGGGAGGGGCTGGAAGACGCAGGAGGCATGTTGATGGGTCTAGCCTGAGGTGGCTCTGTAGAGGAGCATCCTGCAGCTGTTAGCCCTCCAGAGCTTTCCAAGCATGCCTGCCTTTTCTGTCGACAACAATATCTTTCCTCTCATGCAGCTTTTTCCCTGACTAGCTCAACTAGTGCTACACAGCAGACAGTATGGCCGGCCTTTTTCTTCCTCTCATTTTCTCTCTCTTGCTTCCTCCATTTCCTCCCTCATTTTCCCCCTCTCCTCCATCAAAAATTTCTTCAGAGCCTAACAATAAAGTTCTATGTCTTTAAAGATAATTTGGCATGCCTGTTCCTTCTCCAAAAGAATGTAGTCTCCCAGGTCCTGGTAACACATAGCCACAGCCAGTGTCCTCTTGTGAGACATCAGAGCATTAGTAAGTGGTGTGGAAGGTCAACGTGGAGTCTCTTTCTCTTTTGATAGAGGATCTAAATAGTCCTAGAAGTTGTGGAGGCTGAGGAAGCAGATGATGAATGAATTTCTCAGCATATTTACCAAATGAAAACATAATCTAACTTCTCTCTTCTTGGTAGACCTTTACCAAATTGGGATGAATTCTGTCCTAGATTCTATTCCTGAAAATACTCTTGGTAAATTACGTGTTATCTGGTCCTGCTGTTCCAGTCCAGGTTATTCTGAACACTGGTACCCTGTG